GATATATGCAAGAACAGGCTTAATGATTAATTAGATGGAACATTGTGGGTGTGGTGTATGAATGTTAACACTTTGTAATAATTCTTTAGTATATTACTTGTGTGGTGTAGAAGATAATTATTTAAGAATGTAATTATGTAAGAATGTTAACACTTATAATTTTTTAGTATATTACTTGTGTGGTGTAGAAGAGAATTATCTATGTAGAGATACTGCTTGCAAACCAATGATGGTAAGATGATGTTATGGGGTAGGACTAGATAAGTCTGACTTCTTCCTACTCCATTCAAGCATGTACTAGGTATAAGTAAATTGATATTGGATTAGCATTTGTTGGATATGTGTGAAATTACATGTGTTGACATATCAACTGTTTTACATGCTTGAATGAATAAATCAAATCAAATCAATTCAAATCAAATGGGTTTGCATGGTTACCTTTATTTGACTTTGTCTGGTTGTCCACCGAATCTCTCTCTAGTTTCTCCTCCCGCTCTTTATAGCGCTTCACCTGCTCCTGGCGCATTTTCAGGAACAGAGTCTTTTTCTGGTCTTCATTTAGAGCGTTCAGCACATCAGGGTCGACATACATGTCGTTTAAAATTTGCTTTAGCATGTTGGCGGCTGAATGGGTGAGTTAACTTGTTACCACTTGGCCAAGCAGTAGCGGGGAGGTGATGGTGCTCTTTGGCCAGCAGCTTCCTTAGGCGGATGGCATTGGTTTATGGTCTCATGTCATAGAAGAAGACTTTCACAGCTTCTCTCCTATTTATCCTCCTATACTCTTCTTCCTGAGTCAAGGTTCTTGTACATACTGTACAGTCTCACACGATCTCACATATTAACACACACATATACACACACACACACACACACACCCACACACACACACACAGAATCCTGCCTCCTTTTTGTGTTGTGCAGACAGTTTCCCCAGCCCACTAAGTGGTCAGTTTCCTTTGACTTTGGAGGTCATCACTGGGACAACCTACAACACAAACAGAGGCATCATGCATTCAAATGTTTTGAGGGGGCACAGTTTCACAGTTTCATTGTCCTAAAGAGTTGAAGGTGTTCACCAATTTATTTGTAAAATAGATTAAATCTGCAGAGGACTCTATTTATTTGTTTTCCATGAATGAATTATTTACCATCCAGTAGGCTATTGTATTTAATGTGAATATTTAGAGACGGCACCGTCTACACTCTAGATCAACCAACTTCAAAGTCACTCAACACGGTATTGAAACATCAGTCATGTGACCTTTTTTGTTCTTCAGTTTCTGCTATGGCTGCAGTTCAGCTTTTGCAGCCACCTCCTGTTTTGTAGAACATAGCCTATTTCAGTGAGGTGTTAATTTAGTTTGACAAAAACAATAACTGTTTGCTATTTAATTTTCATATTAAAAGATCAATATTTAAAACAGTAATTTGCGGTAGCCTTAATGTATATTTTAACATGAACAGGGGACAAAGTAAAATCACCAGGATAGTCTAAATAATACCTGATTGAAAGGAACTACTTCTCCTTCTGCCTGTCCTGATAATATGCAAACTACAGCTCTGTAAACATATGAGCCACTGAGAAGATCTGAATATAAACACATAGAAGTGCATTAGAAGTAGAAGAAGTACATTTTTACATTGTATAAAGTGCATTTTATTAGAAAGCCTAATTAAAACATTTACTGTGAAAAGAGAATTTAACAAATTGAATAGGCACGACACCTATAAAAGACAAAAGAATGTGTGTGTTATGTCCTAAAGATTCTACATCTTTCTCAAATTTCAGTGTCCTACATGTTTCTTGATCCCATGTTTTCTCAAATCATGTTTTTTTCTTTTAATCGCTTCCTTGTAAATTATATTTCACTTAGTTTCTCCACCCTTCATGAATCAGGAAGAGCCCAAATGCTGTTTCTAAACTGACTGAAAGAGAAAATGGGAGGAGTTTTCAAAGCAATAGAACTGTTTCTGTCATCAGTGGCCCACCTCCCCCTTTCCCTTCCCCACCACACATCCTTTCCCAAACCCATGTTCCTTTCTTCTGACAAACTCCCAGGAGATAGCCGCTTCATTTTAACACGATCAATTTCTGGTTGCAAGAAAAAGAAAACACAGGGTCATAGCCCAGGTCAGCATGAGCCGGTTTCTCCAACAAGGGGATTGAAATGAACTCCTCCAATCACAGTGGGTAGTTAAACAATGGCTACCACATAAGCAGCACTTGGAGGGAAAG